CGCAACAGTACTATGAAAAAGAAATAACACTGTTTAAAACTTCCATAAAATAATAATATAGAATTATTCTTTTTACAAGAGATGTAATAAAAAGCAAAAGAAAAGAAATATTACAAAATGAGAAAGTTATAAACTCCAATAAAAATAAAAACAACTTTCTGTTACTAGTGTAAAAGAATAAGACAAAGGCTTTTTACAACTAATGCAACATAAAAAAAAGAAATATTGAAATACAAAGTTACACTGCAACTGCTGATATAAATGTCTACTTACGTGTTTCCTCTAGAATCTCTCATAATAAAAGTTTTGAACCTAGAGGGAGGAGTTTTTTCGACTTTGAGAGAACAACCAGATCTCTAAAATAATCAAAAGTTCTAATCAATAACTTTAATATTTTCATATATTTTATTTATTTTGTTTTGTATTTTACAAATACAGATAGTGTAGTATGACCTACTAAGTAAGGATAAATACAGTACCAATATGTATAATTCGATCACAAACAGTAAAATAATTTTCTATTCTTTTTTAAACTAAGAAACAACTTGAACTCATTATCTTTATTTTCTTCTATAAAGAAACAACTTTCAAAACACAAACTGTATTTATATCTCATGCTTCTTTCATGAAACCTCCATTCAGTATGGTTATTTCTCTTATAAGTGATCTACCACACAATAAAACGAACAGTCTTAGAAAACAATTACGAATTTTGACCTTCACATCTCCTGGAAATAAGTTGTTGTTTCTGAGGCAGTCACATCCTTGTATATAAATAAGTTGTTTCTCCAGGTCATCAAGTAGCACTCCTCCATGTTCTTCTTTATTTACGTTCAACCCTGAGTAAGAAGCAACAAACGGACGAGAGAGTGCATCAGACCATTGGAGAGATTCTATCTTCATACTCTCTGGGTTTTTTTGTGAGCAAATGAGTGTAGGTGCAGATCCTGTACATTCAAGTCCATTTCTCAGTACAGGTAACAAATGCTGTTTATCCTTCACAAGTGACTGGTCTTTATATGCTTCCCTGAGAAGAGATAAAATATTTCAGGTGAAATGTATAAAACATTAATTATTCTATGTATAGTTCAATCTAGGCAAACTCCAGAAAGTACTTAATTATCATTGGGACCACTTTTGGATAAGAAATAATTTTTAAATCCTGTTATATTTCTAGTAATAGCAGTTTGTTCTCATTTTTTAAGATCATAATTTTTTATCCCACAATGTAACACACTTTCTAATTAATCCTATTTTTTTATTGAGTAACTATAAAGACTATGTTTCTAAAAATACAGTATATTAGGATGCAGTTTCAAAAGCAATTTCTCAACAAACTGTTTAAATATCTCAAACATATACAACTGTGATGTCTAAATGTTTCTATGGTCTTTGATTATGTTTTTAAATTAAATCTAGACTAGAATAATTTGTTTTTTACTTTCATTGAGTAATGAGTCATAAATCACAAGTATATAATGATATCATTGAATGTATTTCAGCAATATCTTGAACATAATTTAATTAATCATTTAATGTGTTTCAAATACATTATTTAAGAAAAACAAACTGTCCACATCAAAACAACTTAACATAATGAATCTTAAAAACAAATCATAAAGTTAGTCTTTTACATGTCACTAACAATCAATTACATTCAAGATAATTAAAACAACTTTCATGAAAAATACTCACATTACATATAGTAAGTATTGCAACCATAACTCTGAAAAGTATGTAGAAGCTTGACAAGAAACTCAAAGTGAATCTCTAAAAAAAATACAACTCAAACTGACAAAAGAAAAATATACATTATGAAATCTGACACATATGTGGCCTTACTTAAAAAAGCTGTTACCTACATCCTCACACTGTTTTTAGTATATGCATTACTTTTTCTAGATAAAGATTTTTGTCAGTTAACTTTACAAATGTAATTCTTACCTTGTTTTTTTCATTTTACATCGAACAGCAATTGTTTCCACTGTAAGAAATTTTATAGCTTTCTGGAACTGATCAATCTCTTTTTGCAAATTATTTACTTGTTTTCTGCTTAGTTTCAATTCCCCCTAGAAATGACACAAAGAACTATATTAAGGTGAATGTTACATCAATATGTTTAGTGATATGCACTAAAGAATGTGTTTGGTTGTAAAGATGATGCAGGTTGATGGCAGCATTAGAAATTACTCCTGGTAGCAAACAAGTTTAAACTTGAAAGTATAGCAACTCACATTAATATGATATGGAGAAATTCACTTGCAAAACATTACATGGTCATGAGAAAGCAGCTTTCAGCTATCGAAAGACTAACAGTATGGAGCTCACCAATTCTGCCAATGAATTATGAGGTAACATTTGTCCAAACCATATTTAGACCTCAACTAAAAATAAGCAGAACATATAGAGATTCTCTTTATATAATAAAAGATGCAAGAATAGTCATAAAGGTACACCTTTTCACCTGAAGGTCTACAGTCATAAACTATGGATATTTAATGAAACTTAAGCATGTACAAACAGATGCTACTTTTTAAGTTAAAGAAATAAATGAAATTAATACTAAAATTTCAGTGTTGAAACAGAAATAAAAATAAGTGAGGAAAATAGATGACTTTTTTTTATGTTTTACTATGTTTTTAGTTTAAGAAAATACAATTTCCATTAGAAAATTTGTAAATGAATATTCCAATACTAATACCGACAGTGTTAAATCATCCATCTATGCATTTTCTTTCCACCTCCTATTTTTTAGAATAAATAATAACTTTGAAATGTATAAATAAGCCTATTGTTAATTACACCACTTACATTATGCATCTTCAGATTTATATAAAACTTTACTCACAGAGGTCTCAAGAACTGCACTAAACTAATCCATCTTTATATTTAATATATGTGCGATTTTACTCGTAACCCGATCTCAAAAATCACAGTTCAGTTTCACTCATATTGAATGCTTCACTGAACTTAAAAAAAAAAACAACCTCAAATTTGTCTTTTTATTGTTAAATAAGGTTAACATATCTATATCTAATTGTGAAGATGTGTTTGTAGATATAGATTTATTTAAAGCAGTTTCTGTGTACATTCTTTTTTTTTTCAATATTATTAACTCCATAAAATTTCTTCTAACTGATAGTATATACCTTCCATCAAAATTTGACTAGGTTTTTTTGTTTTCAATTAGTCATAACTAAGTTATTTTCTACAGATTGAAAAAAATCTACTTTTCTTTTCATGAAAACACAAACTGCAACATTGGTAGAATGAACAATAAGAAGGTTGGCATCAGGGTTAACTGCCTTACAGATGCACAGGTAACATACAAAAAATTAATGTTACATGAACCAAACACAAAAAGATAGAAAACTAATATCAACTTTAACACACAGATCAAATATAAAAAGGATACTAACATAAAAGGAAACCACAAAACAGAAAAAAAAAGTAAGACTATAACATCAGGTTGAACTATCAAAATACACAGAGATTAAATACAAAATTAACAAAAGAATAAACTTCTGAGATGAAAAGAAAACTACAGTAAACTGTCAAGATACACAAACCAAATATTGACATCAACTACTATAATGACACAAATATAAAAAGACTATCATAAACTGCTGAGAAACAAATACAAATACAGACAGCTAAGATAAAGATAATCTGCTGAAACACACACCAAATACAGAAACAGAAGACTAAATATCAAGAGAAGCTAGAGAGACACCAACGAAATACAACCATCAACTACTAAGATACACAAGCACAAATGCAAAAGAGTAACATTCTGGTAAACTACTGAGAAATATTCAAATACAAAACAAAATATTAAGATAAACTTTCAAGATATACAGACAATGACAAATACAATAAATGCAAAGATGCAAGTACAAAATAGAATACAAAGATCACAGAAAATGTGTGCAAAACAGAAAAATGCTGTCAACTATCAAAATACACAGAGTAACAAGAAATAGAAAGTTTAAAATGTGGAAAATTGTCAAGAAATAAATTAAGTACACAAATGGAGGGCTAAACCAAAATTAAATGGTGAGTGTAACGAATTTGTTATTATATATTTATTTTAATATCAACATTTGTTTAGATTAAATTTATATTTAGAAACATGCATAGCTTATACTGTTAAATATGTATTGTAAAACTCCCGCCTATTCTCCAAAGTTGTAGAAGATTCTTGAGAGTAAGAATCAACAATATATGTATGTACGTAAATGATTTAATTTGTATTGTTACATAAAACTGAAATTTCTAGAACGCCTCCACACACCTATAAATATAACCAACGTGATGCGTACCAAAAAGAGAGTATCTATTATTAGTTTGCTATAGTTGGTGTGCTACACACTTTGGATGCTATAACTGTGATTGTTATAATTCCTATCAATCTAAAAACTTAAGATGTTTGACCAGGAGCACTTACAAAGTTTGAACATTACAAATCATTTAACTTCAGTGGATTCTCATCGGACATTAGTATTTTTATGAAAAGTTATATAAATACACCGCGGAAGACTCAGCGCGTGTGACTGGTGAATAACGAAGGACAAAGACTCAGCGTGTGTGGCTGGCAAATAACGAAAGACAAAGCTAGCTAGCTTCCTGTTATGTGAGTTATATCTACATCAACTCGTAATCAACTCACTCATCATGAACCCTCGATAATATATCGAAGTTCCAGATTAAAAGGAAGACTTTATATTGCTTGTAAGTTTGTGAAATTTTTGTTTATAAATCATTGTTTGTAATAACTATTTGTAATAATTGTTATTGTAAATTGTACTGTTGTGCGTATATTAAAACGTATTTGTGTTAAAAAAGAAAACAGTGTATCAATCTTGTTGACAAATATTACAAACTGACTATATGTCTGCATTTAGTTAAATACTAAATTCAAAGTACAATTTAACTACTAAACTTAAATTATCATTTAACTCAATTTAAGACCATTCGAAATTTTAATACGTAACATAATATGAGACACAGACCAGAATATGTCAAATGAAAAAACTAACCTTAACTGCTGAGGCATATATTAAATGCAAAAAGAGAACACTTGACTCTAAAATCAATTCAGCACTTAGCATTACAAAAAAAAAGGTTATGAGACACATGCCAAATCCAGATCTCCTTTGATTTGCTAAAATTTTGAGCTGAAAGAATATGCAAGTAAATTATTTTTAAATATCAGTTTTGTTTTTAGTTTTTAATTTCACAGTAGAAGTTTTAACTTACATTAAGTTCATATAGGTTGTAATGATTACTTTATGAACCTGAGAGTAAAAAATTTGTCATGACTTAGGTCTAAAAGGTTATTTAACTGTTGACGACATAAAGGCAGTATAAGTACATAAAAATATAGTTCTGTATAAGGTATTAGGATAGCTCTCTGACAAAATTTCATACCAAAAATGCTGTATTACAGTGAATACTTTAAATCCTGATTGTCATGAATATTGTAAATGTTACTGTTCTCAGAATACAAGTAAACACAATATTTGATAACTAAATCATATTTTTCATCCATATTAGACATTATAACAAATATGTATAGTTTAAAACACATTTCTTGACAAACTAACTTCTGTCATATAATCAAACTTTGAGGTAAAACTACAGAAAAATTAACCTCAATTCTTTTCTTTTCCATTTTTTCTTGATGGAGTTCAGATGAAAGTGTTGTACTGAAAGCGTCAACAGTTGTAAGACGTTGACTTGGTGCCTCCTTTCTGTAATGATGGGAAAAAAAGTTTATAATTAACTGGATATAAGTTTAGATATCATACCAGTTATATGAAGAATGGCAGCCCAACACTTCGAATATCACTGGCAGTCATTTTCAAGGGTATGATAAACTGTGGAAATTACATCAATATTTAACCCTAAATAGTTCCATCTGTTAGCTAGCCCTTAAATGGTAATAAAAACCTTGTATACTTGAGCAAGGAATTACCACTGTTAACAAGAACAAGACATAAGTTTGCTATAAACCATTCTTCTACGGTCCGGCATGGCCAGGTGGTTAGGGCACTCGACTCGCAATCTGAGGGTCGTGGGTTCGAATCCCCGTCACACAAAACATGCTCGTCCTTTCAGCCATGGGGGCATTATAATGTGATGGTCATTCGTTGGTGAAAGAGTAGCCCAAGAGTTGGCAGTGGGTGGTGATGATTAGCTGCCTTCCCTCTAGTCTTACACTGCTAAATTAGGGACGGCTAGCGCAGATAGCCCTCGTGTAGCTTTGCGCAAAATTCATAACAAAGAAACAACCATACTTCTAAAAATCCCCTGCAGATATAATTTTGTTCTAAATTTAATATTTAGTAATTCTTCCAATAAATAATAATATTATTTGTTAAAAACACATGTTCAGCTAATGACGAATCTACAAAATTTCCTACTTTATATGGCATGCTTGTGTTCTGGCAGTTGTAGTCGAAAAATCAGACTGTCATTATCCTTTTAGCTGGTGTGATTTTAAATTTATATTCAATTTAATTTTATTGTCCTAACAGTTTGTAAACTCGTTATTTGTGAAATTTAAAGTGGCCTAGTGTTTCTATTCATTTATAATGTGTAAAAATAATTATCAACTCAATGCTTTCCTTTTTGTAATCCAGGAAAAAAAACCCATCAATGAATCAATACTTTTCCTAAGGAAAATCCAGAACTGCACAAATATTCAAAATAACACACCCCTTCCCATACTTGTGGCTATAACTAGTGGCTAACACCCCTTCCCATACTTGTGGCTATAACTAGAAGTGACTTGACCTGAATTTGAACCCACATCGATTTCAATCTAGGTCTGTAACCAAATTAGAGCAGTGATTTAGGCATGAATGATTAAATCTGTGATGTTAAGCTAGAATAACAAATAAAAGACTGGAGCAAATGCAACAACATTTGTGTCCATGGACTTTATTAAATTGTGATTATTAAGCAGAATTATTTTTCATTTAAATTGTCCAACACCTCAGTCTAGCATAATACAAATATAAAAAAAATTTTAATGCTCTGTTTCACTGCATCAGTTGTTGTTTATTTTCTACAAGTGGCTGCATCAAAGTTCAAATACTTTTGAAGCATGCTGTTATTTGTAAAGAAAATGATTTTACATATTATTTTCAATACTTTAAAGGTAATATATATATATGAATATAATTCATACATCTGCAACTGATTCTCAGTAAAAAAATTCAGTTTTGTTTGCTTCAATACCTCTATCATACTTTTTAACCTTGCAAACAGTTATGAACTACTAAACCCAAATAAATTAACAGGAATAAAAGCTTAGTGGTATAGACCATTTAATATTGTTGTAAAGTGTGAACTATATGGAACTAAAGATTAGAAAAACTGAACTTTCCTATAGAAATGAGTGAGCATATGTGAATGATGTGACAAATAAGACAAACTTCCAAATAACTATAAATATCAGTTCTACACCAACATGAAGAAAAGACCTTCTTTGTCCCCAGCTCTCAGCCAAAAATAGTGAAGCCTCAGACACAGTAAGTGTTACTACAGCCCCAGCCCTTGGAGATGGTGCCACAAACTTGGAGTCAATAGAGCATCTATCATGCAACACTAACTTATTTGATTATACTTATCTACAAGATGTGACTTCTAATTCTGTTGTATCATGACAGCAGAAGTCCTCAAAAGACATCTCCAGGTTCCATATCCATAAAGAAATCATCACTGTGTTCAATGCATGCCATGATCAACATGTCCTGAAACTGTCAAGCTGTTTACCATAAATTCCAAGTTTCTGGTTATTGCCCAAGAGACTGGTACATATGGTTCACACTCATCTTGTTCTTTCAAACTTGAAAGAAAAGTCAGCATTTACAACCTAGAATTGCTGGCTTTATAGCTAATTCACTTGCTATCTCCTCCCAATATCTAAACATCTCAATCTGACTCCGTGATCATGCTGGAAGTGGATAGGCTGATATCCCAAGTAAAGAGAAAACTTTTCAGTGAAGAAGGCACTACAGCTAGGAGTTTAGGTTGCTGCATTGCAAGAGCAGATGGAACAAAGTGAAGAAGATGGATAAGTATGTGCACTTGAAAGATGAGAAGCTCCACATCATGACAAGGCAGCACAAGCAATACCAAAAGTTTGTCACAGACAGGCAGGATAGTTTCACAATCAAAAAGGAAATCATTGATTCACTTGCACCTATCATCAAGTGGCCACCTATCATCAAGCCATTCAACATCTTGAAACCAGGTGCAAGTCTCAATGCCATGCATACAGTTATTTGCTCTGTATTGGACCTGGAGGAGCTTGGGCAGATGTATGGTGAGCTGATGGAGATGAACAATGTTAAGGCAGTCTGCAAGAATCATCTTCTGAAGACAATGTGAGCCTGAAGTAAATGCTTGTTTGTTTGTTTTGAATTTCACGCAAAGCTACACAAGGGATATCTGCGCTAGCTATCCCTAATTTAGTAGTGTGAGACTAGAGGGAAGGCAGCTAGTCATCATCACCCACCACCAACTCTTCGGCTACTCTTTTACCAATGAATAGTGGGATTGACCATCACATTATAATGCTCCCATGGCTGAAAGGGTGAGCATGTTTGGTGGGACAGGGATTCAAACCCACGACGCGCAGATTGCAAGTCAAGTGCCCTAACCACCTGGCCATGCCCGGTCAGAAGTAAATGCACAAATATTTCAAAAACAGTTTCTCTACTTTCAATTCTTCTGATAGCTTGTTCCATTTACTGCAGTTTTTAGCTAGCTTTTTCACTAATATTCATGATATTGTGTCCTTTTGTTATTAATAATCCTGGTAAATGTGAGAACTCATCACATCTTGCATGACAACTCTCTAGAAAAGGTAATGTTGCTGTCATGAATGTGAGAACTCATCACATCTTGTATGACACCTCTTTATCAGATATAAAAGACTGTTTAGTGTAAGTAGTATTAATTAATTTATTTTGTGAGTTAATATTTCATGATTGTTTTTTTATTGTTTTTTATTATAAGAGAGTTAAAAGCAGACAATTGTTGGAAGTTGTGTTTGTAAGTTATTGATGTTGGGGCTACAGAGATTTCTAGAACCCCTCAGTGAGAGATATAAGTAGCAGCAACCAGAGAGCAGGAAGAAAGCTACAAGTAAAGTGAAAGAGAGTTTTGGTTAGAGAAAGGTTAGAAAACATAAAGTTAACCGTTGTAGGAGTGAATAACCTAACAGCTGATATGTTAAATTGAGAATAACAGTTTTCTGACATTTTAGGAGAATAATTTGTCTCATCAAAGGGTGTTCTAAAGCAATTGAACCTGCCTGTGTGGACTTTGACAAAAAGCAGACAAGTATCGGAAGTTCAGGATACAACTGCGGTAACTCACAAGGCAGCATAAATGAACTATACACTGATACTGTTGTGATAAAAGAAAAGGAATATGTGAATTATATGCTGATAGTGTTTAAGATAAGATAGAGAAAAATAGTTCAGCTTGTCATCATCTGAATTCTAAAGCAATTGAATTGGCCTAAGTGGACTTTTGACAAGAAGAAGAGAACTGTATAGTATTTAAGATACAACTATGATAAACATAGTGTAAAGAATTTTTGTACCTATGTTTAACTTGTTTTGAATATATTATTTTAAAACAAGCAGAATGCGTGCTGTTCTTTTATCATCAAATTTATCACCAGCAAGTCACAGACACCTACTGTAGAAGACTCCTTAGCCCAACACACCAATTTAACTTACTATATATATATATACTATTTAAAATGTAAGATTTTGACATACTGCATATATCAAGTAAGTTTAATCACATTTTTTATTCTTCTTTCCCATTACCTCTACAGAGAAATTTAAAAAATTAGTAAAAAAAGTTCAATCATGTAGAAATAACTAACAACAACCACAAAAAATAAATCCCAACTAAAGTGTATGGCAAATTATACTTAAATATTGCATGAAAATAAATTTCAACTAATGCTTTAGTTTTTTTGTTGTTAAACACAAAGCTACACAATGGGCTACCTGTGCTGTGCCTACAACTGGTGTTGAAACCCAGTTTTTAGCATTATAAGCTTTCAGACTTACCACTAAGCCACTAGGGGACATTAACTAATACAGAAAAAAATAATATATATATATATATATGTGATATCAAAAACACATACAGGTCCATGCCCATCTTACATTACAAAACTACAATTATCCTACTCACATTACAGAAATGTAATATCTTGTATAACTCTAATTGGAGATGAGGAGAATACATCCTACTTACTGTTTTGGTAGTCTCTTAGAAAGTGTTTTTTTCACAGAATTATCTTTGTCTTGATCACTAGTCTAGCAACGAAAGGGAGTTTAAAAATCTAAAACTTCTTTTGAAACTAATTAAAATAAAACAAGCGGTTAAATTATATATTTCATATAGAAAATTAGTGCACTAAATATAATAATAGATTATAAATACTTGATATTTTTAATTAATTTTTTGTGTATCTGCCACTTTTGTCAAAGTAACAGACTTCAAAACCAGTTGAAAATTGTAGTTTTTATCAATATCAGCTGAATCTATTATTGTTTTTTTTTGCCTTGAATTAGTTACTGTATTTTTTATATTAGGGAAAGAAAAATAAATTAGATATTTAAACATTCTGTGAAGCTAAAAAACAAATTTTCCAATGATGAAGGAAACTGTAGGTAAGGATGACAATAAAAATATACTACAATGTAACTACATTTTATATATGACCTCTTGCTACCCTGAAAATATTAATTTCCCTCTAAAATATAAGGTTCATACCATTCCTACACTTGATTAAGAACATAATTCCTGAACTTTTCAAGGGCTTTCTAGAAAAAAATTGTATATATATTGTTACGTCTCCGATTGTTAATTAACTTTCCGTAACTTCGTTCCGACAAAACTTAAGCGACACAAGTCCTTTCTTAATAAAACTGGTTTATTATTTCCGAATATAACTTTACCAATACACTCAACTTCAACAATTGCGCTAAACAAACGCTGTAACGTCTCTCGTGCTCTCCGACTGCAGTTCAATTACTCACTGTCTACCCACACATTACCTTCCCCTCTTTTATATACCAGCCTACCCTATCTAGCATATACTAGAGCATTCCTGAAAGAACAAGATAGTTCTAGAAACTAGAGGGCGCCACACCAGTCACGTGACCTCGATGACGCAACACTGCCCCCTCCTTAATAATGTTCGTCCCGAACAATAACCACATACAATAAACCAATAACAATTAACAATAACATAATTAACTGTACAGAATTAC